GTCCTATTTAGTGGGTCGAATTAATACTAGGAAAATAGAGTTTAAAAAAACCATGTCAGAGGCTGAAAAATCAGTTCTCCAGGGCCGAAGAAAAGTTCTCTCCAGAGTTCTCCGGGACTGAGAAGAAGTATTCTGAGTTCTCCGCCGAAGTTCTCCAGGACTGAAGAGAAGCTCTCCAAGTTCTCCAAAGCCAAAATGAAAATGAAGTTCAACAACATAGCAATGGCTTCTAACACTCCAACTCTACTGTAATTATTGTTACGACAGTGGGGGTCACTTGACGCTAGAAACACGCCATATTCTCGAAGGTTCGTGAAGCCTCGAGTGTTTACTAGATTTCGGTATTCTTGTATATAAGACTGCCAAGAACTGACGGCTGCAATGTAATTGAATTGCAGAGAGAGATAGAGACGACAATTGAGTCAAGCACATGAATCGTTCGTTCGTTGTGAATTATAGCGTTTGTTTAAATTATAGCGTGACTGTGGAAATTAAGTGAATTTCAAAGTTGTATTGAGAAAGAATAAACTAGTTTTATTTAAGAAAGGACTTGTATCGCTAAAGTTTCTTTGGAAATAAATTTTACGAGTAATTAACAAACGACCAGAGACGTAACCGTATAGTCTCTCTCTCTTGATCAACTAGTGTAGAAAATAGTAAGTGTAAGCAGTTAAAGTTTTTATAACTAATAATTTGATAAAACTAATGTTCAAGTGTGTAATGTTTTCTAAGAATTAATTGATGTTAAATAAACGTTATTTTGAGTGTTTACTCTTGGCCTGAGACTCGATTTCTTTAGTCTAACTGTAAACTCCTCAAGTTAGCGACTTGTGGCTCCACTCGTTACGACAAATCCTCCAATAAATAAATTTGGTGTGAGGAGTAGTTTTAATTGAAACTCCAACAATTAAGCCCACCTGGGCGCTACACTTTACAACTCCACAAACCGTGTTTGTTACTGGTTAGCTATTCCTTGTTTGCTAAACATGGGCTATTTGCGCATAGCCATACCTAGCCTTGAACTGATAAAGGAGAGTCTATCAGCACACACCCTCAACTTTTATGCTACTGTTTTGTGATCAAATAGTGTGGTTTTACAGTTACTCTTAAACCACGGTATCAAAGTGTGTCTTTTGCGCATTGGGACGCGAACCATGAACTCCTCGAATTCACTGTC